TTCTTATCTATTAAATCTCTAATGAGGTTCCAATAAGAGAAGGCGGTCACAGGAATTTTTTCTGGCCCAAAAGTATTATAATAGTCCTGAAAACAATCCCCTACTCTACGCCATCTTTTGATATCAATAGTTCCTTCCTGTGGGAACCAAGAGCAAGTGTCTTTTACAAAATCAAAAAACTTAAACAAATCATTACCTTTAACCTTTACTCCTCGTATCTTTAAAGCCTCTTTTAATTGTCCTACATAAATTTGATGCTGACTTAATTCTTGTCCCATTTCGGACGCGCCACTTACCTTCGATTCAGACGCGGCAGGTTCCCGCGGTGATCGGAAGAGTTTACTTTCTGTTGTCTTTGGTAGCGGTCGACCGTCCTTTGGCGTCCTCTTCCTCACGGAGTCCCTCGTTTCCAGGTCCCTGTTCGGGCGCCACATATCCCGGCCCGCGGGATCGTCGAAGCAGGCCCTGGAGGAGGGAGTGGGAATTTGGGGAACAAGAGACACGAGAAATGGAGACAAGACAGTGCTCTGATCAAGTCTCGTTTAATGGCGGTAATGCAATGCCTTATATACACTTGGAGGGGAAGGGGTTGGGCCAGAGGCGGAGATGATCTCATCGCAGAGGGCGTGGCCAGGTAGGTATTGGTTTCTCTGGTGGAAGGTCATGTTGCGCCTGCGCTGTCGGTTGGAAATTTTCCCAGGCGCGCGATGGCGCCTGCGCTACAAAGTAACAATTTTCGCGGGGCGCGGGAAAAATGGGTGAAGAAGAAGCAGGAAGAGCGCCATCTTGTGCTGGCATATGAGACAGCAGATCAGGGAAAAAGGTAAATCTAGGGAGGAGGCATGGGGTGGAAATGAATAGAGCTCAGGCGTTTTTTTAATCGTCAGTTATTATTCGCTATGGCCGGGGCGCACAGCTCCGGACAACTGTAAGCTAGAATTCTCTCTTCCTGTCTATTTGAGCTATAGACTCGTGGATTCAGGTTTTTTTCCCCCAATAATATATAAATCATTAATGCTTTTTATTATTTTAATGCACAAATTATCCCATATTTGACCAGTGTGCACCACTCAGACAGATTTCCGTGTTCTTTTCACAGATGTCCTTTTAGAAAAAGTACTTTTTAACTTTTCATCATAACGAGTTGATCTAGGATCATTTTATTCCTTCCCTGCCTCTGCCTTGAAATCAGCCATTTCTTCAAGGAGTCTGGCTGTTTTGAGTAGGGAATAATATTAGAAGCTAAGATCTGGGTTCTTGTGTAGTTTGAATCTGTATGTCAAAAGTTATTTCTCTTTTTACCTTAGATATTTTCCTACTTGCT